CAGAAAGATGTACAGGGATTACATTTTTAGCAGCAGCAAGAGGTTACATCAACCCAGCCACTTTTTCAGTGGTTTCTAACTTTAAGCAAATGGCTTGATATTTAAGGCTGGAATCACTCACTGCCCCGTGAAAATAGTACCAGTTTGGGACTCCTCAGTGCAGTGATCCCTCCTGCCTCACCCAGTTGTGTTATTTCACATAAACCAGTTCTGTTTTAAGCTGGTAAGGAAGTCAAGTATTTGGGGCATTTGTATTTGCAAAACATTATACCAACAAACAGAATAAATCCAGTAACGTTTCTTTGTTTGCTTTCACTCAGTACTGATCCAACCCCCTTCTTAAGGGTATTTAAGTGTAGAACACGCTTGCCAAGACTGTATTTGCAGCTTCTTTCTGCTTGCAGTGATTCACTTTACTTTCCTGCTCCATGCTGTTAATACTGTTCCAAAAAAAAGTATCCAGTAAAGCTCCTCTGCCCACATAGTTCCAATTTCTGAGTGGGTTAATGCACAAATGCATGTTTTCACTGGAACTGGCTGAAAAACAGAAAACAAATATAAGAAAATGACTGAAAGGTTTGCCTGATTCATTATTATTATCTACTATTTGGCAATGTATTGCCAACTCACTGTTTGAATCATTTTCTACCTTATCAGTCAGTCTTGAAACTACATCGAGTATGGATCTGAGTTTTATCATCCTTGACAACCTGTTGACAACCTGAGAATGCACGTATGCATGCCTAGAACATAAACCAGCCCAGAACTACCAATTTACCTTTCTAAAGCTAGAACTGATGTGGTAAACTCCTCCTTCTACCTCTCCTCTTCTACTGATTTCTTTAAATTAGTTCATTTGTTCAAGTATAATAGCAAGAGGGCAAATATGGGAAAATACGCCCGATGAAAAGATCCTTCCATATTCCCTTCAAGAAAGAAAGCAAAACAACGGACTTGGTCCCATTCTTTCAGGTGGTTCTCTTTCTATGACCTGAACAGCCATTGTTTGTACAGTGACTGTGCAGTTTCGCATGCCTTTCTGATTAGGCAGTAGCACCAGGCAACACAGGCTGGCATTCACTTTACTTTTGAGGTTAACTTCCTGATCTAGAGGGAGTGGTTGATACTTACTGTTTCTTAAGCTTGCACTGCTGAACAGTATGACTATGAAAACTCATCTTGAATGCATTTAGTACCCAGCCCTCTCCCCATCTTTCCAATTCACTGTTTGCCGCGCTTCTCCCCTGGCCCACAGACCCTCCCAAGCCCTGCTTCAGCATTAACAGGAACCAGTCATCTCTCGGCTTCCCATCCCCTGCCGGGACACCGCTCTGCGACCAGCCGTGATCAGCAGCTGACTGCCAATCTGAAAGAAAGAAAAGTAATGGCATTGCTACGTAAATACTATAATTATTTGGGTATGATAAGTTTTTCTCCTATGTTATAGGTGTAATGCTCTGTACTACATTTGTGTTAGTGTTATGTATAGGTAGAGAGAGCAGAAGTTAGCAGGGAGGTGAGGAAATCCTTCAGTGGACGCTGGTGCTCTGCTCTGTGTACAAGCCCTGGGAGGGACTAGCTGGGATCCATACTTGATATATAGGCGCCGATAACAATGCCATATATGGAATTTCATATGGTGGCAGCTCACTGCCAAATCCAAACATCAGAAACAGCAAAGAATCCGGCATTTAGGGGGAAAAAAAAAAAGACGACGACGACGAACCCCCCTGAGGTGCGGAAAAGTAACTTCACAACTCTCAGATAGAATTGTAAAGCAGGTATGTTTATTCAGCGCTTGGGGAACATGGGGAGTCGTCTCCTAAGCCATGCCCCCCCCGTTACTGTTCTTTGGAGACCTTTTATGACCAGCACATTCACCCGTCATATGGTGAGTCTCCAGCACATCTGGTTATCACTCGCCATGGGGGGGGTCTCCAGCACATTTTGTTATTACTCGCCATAGGGGCGGTCTCCAGCACATTTTGTTATCACTCGGTGTGTTTACAGACATTTCGCTAGGCGCCATTTTATACAATACTGTCAAAAGTCATTTAAGCAATGTTAGCAAGAGCAAT